ACTATTGTAAAGATTTGGGTCATTGGGAAAATGAGTGTCCAAAACTGAAGACAAAAGGATCCACTGCTGTAGCAAAAGTTGATTCGTGTTCGGAGGCTGATGTGGTACTCTTGGTGGTTGATTGCAATAGTCGGTTAGAGGTATGGATTCTTGATTCCGCATGTACATTTCACATGACACCACATAAGGATAGGTTCAACACCTATAATAAGATTGCAACCGGAAATGTCTTGACGGGAAATGAGATGTCGTGCAATGTTGTTGGAATTGGATCGGTGAGCATTAAAATGCATGATGGGACAGTGAGAACTCTAACAGATGTTCGTCATGTACCCGGGTTGAAGAAAAACTTAAATCTCTTTGGGCGTGTTTGACTCAAAAGGCTTCAAGTACACCGGTGGTGTTGTAATTCGGGTCACTAAGGGTGCATTAGTAGTGATGAAAGAAGCCAAGAGAGGTACCTTGTATGTGCTTGAAGGTAGCATGGTTGTTGGATCAGCAGCACCAGCCCTGAATCGTGTAGAGAATGAGTCAGATTTGACACGTCTATGGCACATGAGGCTACAGCATGTTAGTGAGAAAGGCATGGTAATTCTCTGCAAGAAAGGACTTCTTGGAGGTCATAGAGTTGCTGAATTGGGCTTTTGTGAGCATTGCATCTTTGGAAAACAAAGAAGAGAGTTTCAGAAGTTGTCCATACAACCAAGTCGACTTTAGATTACCTTCACATTATTGTTGGGGTCCCTCGCAAGTTCCTTCACTTGGTGGTGATCGTTACTTCCTCTCAATTATTGACAACTACTCTAGGATGACTTGAGTATTCGTCATGAAGCATAAGAGTGAGTCGTTTGAGAAGTTTAAAGATTGGAAAGTTTTCATTGAAAATCAAGTTGGGAAGAAGATACAGTAGCTGCGAACGGACAACAGATTGGAGTTTTGTTCAAGCGAGTTTGATCGGTTTTGTAAAGATGAAGGAAATACAAGGCACCGGACGGTTAGGCACACTCCACAGCAGAATAGAGTAGCCGAAAGGATGAATCAAACGCTGCTGGAAAGAGTGAGATGTGTGCTGTCGAGTGCAGGGTTGACTAGAAGTTTTTGGACAAGCGTTAAACACAGTTTGCTACTTGGTGAATAGATACCCCGGCTGCGGCAATTGATTGTAACACTCCTATTGAGGTGTGATCCAGTAAGTCGGCCGATTGAACGGGCTTAAGAATATTTGGTTGTCCTTCATACTACCATGTTAGTGAAGGAAAATGGAACCAAGTTCAAAGAAGGGGTTGTTTATGGGATACGGAATTGGAGTAAAGGGCTACAGATTTTGGTCTCTTGATAAAAGAAAAGGTGATTCTCAGTTGTGATGTATTGTTTGATGAGGAGAGTATGTTACGTGGCGTGAGGTATTCATTACTCCAAGTGCTCAAGAGGAGAGTGTGTCGGAACAGGTGGAGTACGAGTTAAATGGTCCCGATGAAGGCGAGAATAATGTTGGACAGCAGAGTAACTTGCCTCAAACTAAACCTGTTGTGCCCGAAAATCAGCACCAACCTGCAAAATTTCGATTTATAGCATTAGATAAGCCCCAAAGACAAGTTGGTAGGCCAATTCGATATGGTTTTGATGACATGGTGGCCGATGCTCTGGAATAAAGCGATTTCTGGAGCTTAGAAACATACTTTTCTTTACCTTGAGCTACAAAACCCTCCTAGGCTCCTATTGACTCATATAGATTTTCTCTTCAAGCTCACCATGTAAGAAAGCCGTTTTGACGTCCATTTGTTCCAACTCCAAATTTGCTTGTGCTACTAGTGCCAACAACACCTGAATGGATGTATGATGCACCACCGACGAGAAATTTCATTATAATCAACCCCTTGCTCTTGGCTATAACCTCTAGCCACCAAACGGGCCTTGTATCTCACACTTTCAGCTCCTCGCAGCCCCGTTTTCCACTTAAAGGTCCACTTACACGTCGCAACTTTTCTGCCTTGAGGTAACTTCACTAATTTCCAAGTTCTATTCTTGTGAAGGATTTCATCTCCACTCATGGTTGTTATCCACACATCAACCTCCTTTGTTGTGATTGCTTCTTTGCAAGTAGATGGCTCAAAGAACTCCATTTCTTCAGCATGAGTTAAAGCAATCTCCGAGACAGTGGTATAAAAGTTTTGACAACATTATGGTGAGTCATGGTTTTAGTAGAAGCCCTTATGATTGTTGTATATATAATAAGAAAGGTGATGACGAGTCACATGTGTATCTGCTACTTTATGTGGACGATATGTTAGTAGCGGCTCGTGATATGGTTGAAATTAAGAAGTTAAAAGGGCTCCTTAATTATGAGTTTGACATGAAAGATTTCGGGGCTGTTCAAAAAGATTCTCGGTATGGAGATTATCCGAGATAGATCTAGACGTAAACTTTTCTTGTCCCAGAAAAGTTACAATTTGAAGATACTTTCTCGATTTGGTATGGCTTTTGCAAAGCCTATGAGCACACCTTCATCGGCAAATTTCAGATTATCAGTGGCTTTGGCACCTCAAATAGAGGCTGAGATGGAGTATATGAGCAAAGTTCCTTATTCAAGTGTTGTAGGAAGTCTTATGTATGACCATGACTGTACTAGACTTGACATAGCTCATGCTATTAGAGTTGTTTCGCGCACATCGCTTATCCGGGGAAAGAACATTGGGTTGCCATGAAACGTATTTTTCGTTACCTCAAAGGTACAACTGATGTAGGTCTCATTAACGGAGATTAAGAAGATTGCATTGTGGCTGGATTTTCAGATTTTGATTACATAGCTGACCTTGACACACGGAGGTCATTAACGGGATATGCGGTCACTGTTGGAGATGCCTTAGTGAGCTGGAAAGCGACGTTACAGCCGTTTGTTGCTTTGTCTACAACAGAGGCTGAATATATGGCTCTTACGGAGGCTGCAAAAAAGGGATTTGGCTGAAAGGTTTGCATGGAGATCTTGGGTTTCGTCAAGATCAGACTGTAGTTTTTTGTGACAGCCTGAGTGCTATTTGTCTTACAAAAGACGGGTGCATCATGAAAGAACGAAACATATAGATGTTCGTTATCACTTTATACATTCGGAAAGGAGAATTGAAGTGAAGGAAGTGAAGACGACAATCTAGCTGATGCACTGACGAAACCCGGTTCTTTGAACAAGTTTAGGCATTGTTTAGATCTCCTAAACATTGGTAACTGGAAGTAAAAAATTTACTGTACTAGAATTAAAGCCAAGGTGGAGATTTGTTAGGTGTGGCTTTAATTAAAATAGTTAGTTGTTTTTCTGCTAGCATGACTTGGCTATTACCTATAAATACGTTGGGTTATCCTCATTTGTGGAAAATCCCAATTTCGAAAATAAGATTCCTTCGATTTCCCGGTTCTTTCAAAATTCTCTCTACTCGATTTCTCTAATTTCTTAAAAATTTTAATATTATTAATATTAATAAATTACATAAATTAACCAAAATATAGAAACGGTATAAAAATAGTATGAGGGCAGTAAAGTGGAAGTTTAAAAAGCATAAAATACAATAAACAAAATTTAAAGAATAAATAAAATTTAAAGAATGAACAAAATGAAAAAAGGGAGACGTATTTGATGTTTTGGAAAAGAATCAGGTTTTATTCTGAGGTTATATTGGTAAAAGAATATGTCTGTTCCACCATGTTCCATAGGGTAGTGGTGGAACATGCGTGTCCCACTTTCTTACATATGTTCCGCATAAAAGTCCTGCCAAACATGGAACAATGATCCTTGTTTTGTTGTCCTGTCCGATGTACCAAAAGCACCCTAAACGCTATCTTAAATGCCATCTATGATTTTCTCATCTGAAACATGTTATGTGGTTCTATCAACCCAAGTTTACTTGTCCATTAATCCAAATTTTGTCATCCATCCTAATCACGTCTATAGCCGACGACAACAGAAATGGACCACTATCCTATTCAAGAACAGTTAATATGTGTCACAATCCATATTTGGTACTTTCACCAACATACACACTATATAGCAAGAACGGCAAGCCCCTACTGACCGACTACATGTCTGTGAGGATCCCACCATAGAGCCTTCTACTTCTAATAGACCACGAACTAGACCAAAATCATTCTTAACGAGTGCTATCAATCCTATTTTAGATTTCTTCTTCACCTGTGAATAACTAGTCCAACATGTAGATCGTATTAACATAATATTATCCGTTTCATAAGGATACAAACAAATCTTGGTATTTAAAAAATGCGGAATAGAAAGAAAGGATGAGGCAATCAATCAATCAATATAGATTCATCTGAAATTTGAATCAAATCTACATAGCACCCATAGGTACATAAGAAATGTATTGAATCGTTTCTTTTTTAATGACTAGATCCACTTTCATTCACCCTATTACACCACCATAAACAATTACTTTATTCCTATAAATGTGTTGAAGGTTCCTCTCTTTGGCACCTAAGTTGGTAAAAGGTCATGTAATGAAGATGAATGCCTTACAAATAAGTGATAGTTGGCTTGTGTATTGTCGAGAGATTTTGTCATCTCGACAACTAGATGGGATAGTTATCAAGGTATTGTTGAGCTAAAGTAAGTTACAAGAGATCAATTCCAAATTACTAATTTCCATCCTCTTTCCTACTTTTTGGAGAGGTTTCTCATTCTCATCAAAGGGTTTTGATGTGCCAACATGAGTTACTAACAAGGTGTGTAGTGGGAATTTTTGGGCTGCAAACAAATAGAATTATCCATGCAAGACATATATCAATGTTGCCGAAACCCAATAAACATGAGTGGATAGCACAATTCCTACTTAAAAGGGTTATAAAAAATCATTGGTCATGACCACTAAGAAAGAGCAAAAGATGAAGGCAACGTGCTAAAGTTGGTGAATTGCTATCCTATATGAACTCAATTTTCATTTCCTATTTACTTGAAATATGAAAAGGGTTATAAAAATCATTCGTGCAAATCAACTTACAGCATTTGGCTTTGGACCGACCACGAATTCCTGGTAAATGGTTTTCTTGTCTCTATCAGTTGATAAACCAGAAACCTTGGGTGATTTGCTCATAGAAAGCCTCCTTTTGCTCTCAACAGATTGCTCCACTTTAGGTTGCTTATCTACCAAATCTTTGCCATTACTGCCACTGGTATCAATGCTCAGCTTCTGAACAGAGTTGTTTTTCTTATTATCCGGCATCTTAAAAGAGCCATCAGTCCTGGTTTTGTTCAACATCCTGCCTTCCAAGTCATCCGTCACTTTTGTGGAACTCTTTCCCTTGTCAGATTCCAGGAGAACTTTACCATTCTTTCCATGTGGTTTTATGGAATTAGTCAATCTCTCGGAGTCCCCATCAGCTTGAACTTCAACCTGTATTTCTTTGAGTGTCGTTTTATCATTGGACTTGATTTTCTTCAAGGGACGGTCATGTAAGTTATCAGATCCCGCAGGAGTCTTATTTTTCTCCTTGGCTTCCACCTTATGAACAGGGAGCGTGCTCTCTTCCATCTCATCCTTATCTTTACTGCAGGGCATATTCTTTTGCTTCGAATTATCCTTGTCAGCTTTAACAGTGCACCTATCAGATTTACCCATTTCTGAATTGGTGCCAGATGTTTCCGAATCCTTCAGATCCTTAACATGGAGCGGTAACTTTTCTTCATGTTTTGAGTTACTGTCAACAGGTAATTTGCTGGAGTTCTCAACCTTGGATTTCTTGGAGGGCATATCCTTCAATCTCTCAGAGTCCCTGGCAACTTCAAGCTCTACCTGTTTTTCTTTCGGTACTGCTTTATCATTGGACTTCATTTTCTTCAAGGGTCGGTCATGTAATTTATCATTTCCAGTAGGAGTCTTGTTTCTCTCCTTAGCTTCCACCTCATGAACAGGGACTATGCTCACTTTTCTCTCATCCTTGTCTTTATTGCAAGGCATATCCTTGAGCTTCGAATTATCCTCGTCAGCTTTATCAATGCAGCTGTCAGTTTTACCCATTTCTGAACTCGAGCCAGTTGTTCCCAAAGCCTTCAGTTTATTAACAGGTAGTTTGATGGATTTTTCAACCTCAGATTTCTTGGAGGGCATATCCTTCAATCTGTCAGAGTCCCCAGCAACTTCAAGTTCAACCTGTTTCTCCTTGGAAGGGTTTTTATCGTCTGGCATAATTTTCTTTAATGGTCGATCATGTAATTTATCAGATCCCGTAGGAGGCTTGTTTCTCTCCTTAGCTTCCACCTTGTGAATGGGAACCATACTCGTTTTCATCTCATCCTTACCAGCCTTATCTTTACTGAAGGGCATATCCTTTAGCCTTGAATTATCCTTGTCAGCTTTAAGGATGCAGCTATCATTTTCAGCCAACAAATTTGGAATATCTTTGCCTTGAGATTCTCCTTTCGCATCTACTTTCACTTCTACTTCAGCTGACAACTTAATATCTTCTTTGTCATCCTTAAGCTTGTTGGTTAGGCTTTTTGTTAAAAGCTGATGTACTTCCCCGCAAGTAGTGGTGTTCTGGTTTTCCTCCTTCCGGTCAGAGATACTTTGAGGGAGAGTGCTGGTGTTTTCACCCTCTTTTCTGTTAAATATGTATTCAACTGTAACAAAATTTGCACACGAAAACACATATAAGAAATGAAATCAATCACCAGAGATAGACCCTAGTTTAGAATGGAAAAGTTCGAGCTAGAATATTCGGTAGACATACTTCCGAGCCCACCAACTTTCTCCTCCATTTTATCCAATATACTGCAGCTTTGAACATCAAACGTACGATAAAATATGAAATCCGCCACCTTGAGTTCCTCATCTGAAGGTTGGGGGTTTCTGCGGTCCTTTGACACACAAACAACATTGCATTGACCAGCAATTGCTTCCTGATCAAATAATGACAAGAATTAGGAAAGGCGATAATTCCTGGCATGAGACGCACTCATCCAAGCACCACAACAGATTCGGAAGAACTTCAAGGATTGGTTAGTTTCTGCTGCCTCCAAGAAAGCGGCTGAAACATATTTGCAATAAAACTCGATATGTATGCAATATGCTCGACTACTAGTAAAGCCAATTTTATCACACACTAAACAAAAGATCATTCAAACACAGGGCCATAAGGTTGCTTGCTAAAGTCATCACGGATACAAAAGAAGCCGGGTGACATCTTCAAGGAAAACTCAACAGTAGTGGAACACTCTTGCAAAGAGCCATCACAAAAAATCTACAAAGAAAGAGAGGATTACAAATTCCCTGGGAAGACGAATTCACAAGAACCAAACAAGAAGAGAAACATATTTTCTTCAAACCAGCCGAAGTTGACTGAAAAAGTTCCCCAAAAGCTGCCATCATGACCTTGATTAGAGCCCGCCAAAACCATCTTTAGCACGACGTAAGAATGAAACTGGTCTCTCAATATCCACGAATATGAGATGCTAATAACATACTTGTTGAGACCATGCTTAGGTGTGTAGCTAAGTGAAATTTTGGAATTCACCTACAAAAAGTGCACACTTCTAATTGTATGGGATTAGGTTCCAAAGGCAAATCCCTCTTAAGTCGCTCTTCTTTAAATAAGACCAATAAGTTTTTAAGATATGCCACAAAGGTTTTCTACCAAGTCATCAAAGCAAGGTATACTCTCTAGCCTCAACCGATCTCCTTGTGCATGGTTTGACTGAATGTCTGAATCTCTAGTCTTAAAAAGAACTGTCGGGCTATCATACTCTCTTTGTCAAGCATGCCTAGAACCAAAGAATGACCATCTTCAATGTCTATAGAACCAGAAAATCGCTTCTCGTGCAACATATGCGCCATGAGTGATCCAACAACCATCATATAAATCTCAGAAGGATCCGGCAGCCAACACCCCTAAGCCTCTCCAAAAAACGAAGCGACTTAGATACTCCACACTCAATTGTGCAAACAAAAAATTACTTTCGTTATCATATAACACTTGAAGCTTAGTGGCCAACATGCACCTTGTTTAACGAGGACTGAGAATTGGTGTAGGCATCTATCAACCAAAAAGTATCACAAGAAACGGATTGCCCATATAAGTGTTCTTTTAGGGGCATCTATCATCTACATTTGAATATGATGGTAACTTAGACTTTAATTTTATATCTGTAAAGACAATAGCCCATGTAACGTATCAAACAACTATATAGTAACCTAAATAGGAAACTTTCCTCATACAAGTTCCTTGTTCAACACTAGGTAATAAAAAACTGCTACGTACCATTCTTCCTTCATACCACAGGACTGCGAAAAGGATTTATATTAACCTAACCAAACCAAACCAAACCATTCTGGTATATCCCACACCGGGGTGGGGTAAGTAGAAATGACCTCAACCCCAAGGAGTCAAGTGATTGTTCCCGTTAAGACCTCCAGCATGTGAGAAGTATGGGCAATAAAGTAAAAAGAAATTGAAAAACAGGGAAAAGAAACACCATAAGACTAAAAAGAAAGATAGGTCAGAATATGTAAAAAGGAACCAAGACGAGTTAAGACTGCAAACAACATCCCAAGAGCAAAGACTAGTACAAGGACACAAAGCTACACAACCCCCAATTTATCTTACGACACTGTAATCGACCACACGCCCACCTTCTACCTCACCACTCCCTTCATCCCCCCAAGCTAACTACACACCCCTACCTCAGTTTGCTACCCTTTTGTACACCTCCAATAACTCTTGTAGATGGCATGCCCTTGAAAATTCTTAAAGCCGCCATGTCTGCCTCAAGTGCTCAACCCAAGTCCTCCCCAATCTGCCCCTCCTCGCCCCCTCTATCCTCACGCTTTCAACTCTGCTCACCACGGCTACAATCAAGTGTCCCCCACAAACATGTCCAAACCACCTTAGTCTTCCCTCTGATTGGTATGTCCTATCCAATATGGTAAGTCCAACCACATACCCATCTAAGCATCCTCATTTCTGCAACTTCCAACTTCTTCTCAAGATCCTTCTTTGTCGTCGAAAGCTCTGACCCGTACAACAAAGCTCATACCTGTAAGATTTGCCCTTCAATTTTAGTAGAGCTTCCATGTCGCACCAACCTGTGGCAACCCTCAACTTCAATCATCTTGTATTTATGTGATGATTGTTATGTCGACTTCAATTGTTCCCTCCTTATGAACCATCGAATCTAAGTACTTTAAAATGTCTTTTTAGGTACCATTTTCTCCCTTCTTTTGAAAAAGGTTGACGCAATCGCATTATACCAGCGTATAAAATTTCCCAAACAAGTCATAATATCTCGTCCATCTCACCGGTAGATAGCAATACACACCTCATGCTAACGAGTCATACCCATTCATGAGAACAATGGCATGCTCTCATTCCGAAAGGGTGGCAAGCTTTTCGCACATGAACTCCTTCAGAACATGATATCACCTTCTGAGAAACATGGATTTCTTCCCATTTGTTGTCATTCCTCCATATGCAGTTCCACCAAGAAACCTTGTCCTTCATTTTGCAACAATGAAACCATGTATTTCATTAACACCAAGTTTCAGCATAAACTAGAATCACTTTTATTGTCCTAACTGAAATTCCATTCTCAAAGCATGTTGTTAATATGTGTTCCCCTAATGTTTCGAGGTCTTTCTCCTCATGTTTACTAGATCCAAGAAAAGATACTCCTTCCACACCTTTGGTTATATAATGACAGTATTAAACCCCCGGGAGCTCACGTAGTTTGCTCCACCAAAACCCAACACGTAACCACCCCAATCACTCTGTGTATCCACTAAATGAAGTCTGAATAACTCAACTACCCATTTGGAGATGAAGTTGGGGTTTGCGGATGATGTCGTGGGATACTTCTCTGCCAATCAAGATCGCCAACTTGTCTCATGATTGAGTACACCGTACCTCGAACCAAGCATAAACGCTCTTCCAAATCCATGGCACCATAAACTTTTCTTCAATATCCACCACCTTACTTTTCTCATCCACTAGCAAGGCAACAAACTTCATCCTTTTCTCCTATAGCTCTTGCTCGGTTATGCCCTTGAACTTGTCGAAATCTTGTAACTCTACTACATGACATTTATCATTGTGCCTTGGCAGATTGGCTTGGTTGTCAGGAGCTTTATTTTGTATCCGATAGAACTCGTTAGTCTTTGCTAAATCCCCTCTAAAGGCGGTGTTAAACATATAAGAGAATGCCCTTTGAAGAACCCTTATATACTCGAACCACATTTTTCTCCTCCATTTCTTGAGCAAGTTCCATTACATTCCACAACGACAAGGTTCAAATTTCCTCAACTCTCAGATGTTGCTCATCAAGTCATCTACAAAATTCCTCCAAAAGCCTTCTTAGATACCCCCAACCTGTGAGGGATACAAACACTTGCAATATTCCCGCACGGGACCCTTCAAAACCAAAGTAAAGAATTATTTCACTAACTCACCCTCACGTTAATCCAAGAATCATCACATACTCAAAGTCTTTCTACGAAAAATGGTGCCACCTACAACATTAAAGCCACACTAGTGTGTCTCCCTCTAAACATAACCCTGTAGTGTCAAAATCGTTCTTCAACCACCCCATTAATTGAGATATATCTCTTGGCTTTCCTATCCACCCATGTTCATCCCCATCGCTATAATTATTGACCCTCTCCCGTCTGTTCCCCTATGTATCCCCTAATCATTCGAATAGCCTTTGTAACCATCCACCTCTCTTCCACGTCTTGAGCTCCTTACCCATCTTTAAAAAATTATCCCCTTTTGGTTTTCAAAGGGAGCTCTCCTTATTCCTTTGTTCCATCTTATTTCAATTAAAGCTCTCATCAATCCCATAATTAATTTTACATTAAGGCCAAGGTTAAATCCAATATGCATCATTGGACCAATGACAAACCGCCTTATTCAACTAATATTCTCCAAAATTAGGCACACCATTTAGCTTAACAAAATATTACCCCAAGAGAAGGCATACCATTTGTAAGGTGTCATGATTCCCCATCGCAATAGTTCACCTCACCCGCTTCATCCCCTTTGGTTCCATCATGCATCTCTGTCGTCTAGTGTCGCTCGTAACTAACCTCCCATGGCACCTTATGGCTACGCTTCGTTGCTCTTAATGCCTTGATTCCTTTTGAATCAATTATAAACCCATCCCTCGTGTGACTGCGCTCTTCCTACTTTGGTGTAGCCCAGCAGCTATCACGACTGACCTGTGGTGTTTGCCAAAAATAAACTGCACTTCATTGAAACAAAAACCCAAAATCCTCTACACACTAAAATATAGTTCCACCTTTGTTGATATAACCTCTCCAGTTTTCTATGCCTGCGATTATAATGAACTAACATCAAATCTCTCTACTTATAGAACTTGCTAAACTAGAAATACTGAAATTGCATACTACTAATTAATCTTCCACATATGCTTAAAATAGACCAATACAGGCATAAGTCCATGGGTCAGCATAACAAGGACTTATCTCTAGAGACCATTATGCTTTACTTTGGTATATTTGGTCCAAAAAACCTTGATTCTAGAGAGTTCTTCAAAGCTTGTACTTTACTACATTATTTGCAAAAAAAATGTACACAAACGACTTCTCCATGTATGCATTCCACGGGCATCTATATATCTAAACATTCAAATAGATAATACCGGTTAAGCAATGGTTGGCCTAAAAAATGCATATCCCTAGATAGCATAAACCTAAACTTATGCTATATTTTAGTATAGCTTGATCAAAAACTCCATGATCCAAGAGTGTTCTTCAAAGCTTGTACACCACTACATCATTTGCAAAGAAAACATATAAAACTCAACTTTTTCCATGTTTGTAATTCATGAGCATTTGTGCATCTAAAGCGGAGAAACTTTTAAATTGATGTTATAACAGGGAAACATTACTCTCATTTCAATATCTTAAGCAAAATACAACTCGATTATGCATATGCTTGTTTACATCAACATACTCCATAATGACTTTCAAGTCAATAATTGAACTCTCTTTCATACCATCTCGATGATGTCCCATGTTACTCTAGTTAAGTTCCCAATTAAAGAAACCATGAATGTTAGCCCACCGAACTTAGTTGATGCTCAATACTTTTCATTCGTAATATTCATGATCTTGATAGTTGATGTTAAATTATTCCTCTGCTATCGTGACAACCATCATTTCTTCACATGTTACCGTCTTTCTTAGCTTGTGAAGAAGAAATTATTCATAAGCCACTGTGTTTTCTTCCACCATGATTTGAGGATAGAAATCAGATAGTTTCATAGATCACAAAACATCAATTTTGTATGTAGGTTAAAATCGTTTGTGAAGAAGATATAGCTTGAGCATACTTGATTCCAGTGCATAGTCCAAAATCCAAGGAAATATAGAGTATTGAGTCAGACATATATTATCACCACGTCTTAGAATGTGGTGTACGTTTACCATCATAATGCATCCACGAGTTGATGATAGTTTGTTGCCTTTCACTAGTTATGACACTTGTGTAATATCACAATGCCACAAATAATCATAGGCAACTAATGTGTGTACCTTGTGGAAAAGTGTACTTTACAACATGCAAGAGTGCTTGTTGCAAAATATTTAAGCAGCAACTGCTTATAGTTCTCAAGGTACTTTAAGACTTGCATATATTGCCATAAAACAATATCCAGAGAAATATATATGTAGAAGTTATAATATTTAAAAATTTGATTACCAAAGGATTAATATTGGCTAGACCGACACCTTCACCGGATGCAAAAAAGATTTCATTCTCAAGAGTCGTGGTATCTCCAAGCCACTTTGAAATCTCCTCCGGACGAAAAAACCATTGGACTTTTACTTTCTTCGTCTTGCTGTCCCTTAGCTCCCATATTTTTATCAATTTGCCAATATAAGGTTCTCGTAAACCTTCCTTGTACATATAAACACAATCATATAGCATATATTTTACTCCATCGTATATGAAAGATTCATAAAATTGGATCTCCTTCTTTTTCCCACCAAAACCTCTCCTCTTAAGCCACTTAAATTCAAGACTAGCATCTTCATCAACTTTTTCCATATTGAATATGCAACCCTCCACGAATTTGATAGTAGATGCAAAAAATTCTAAACCTGAAAAACACAACATAAAGTTGAGCAAGCATCAACAATCTACAGCTACGATCATCTTTTTAACCAACTAGATGACCTTCTTTAACCATCAAGCAAGAATACATTACTAACTTGACAATAATAACTTATAGTAAATCCTACAACTACTTTCTTACTTGTTAAGAAGGGAGACCGTAAAGCATCATCAAATGCTAAAACTAGCATTCGAGTAAGTACATAAGTGGAAAATTTGGAAGAGAATGGAAAAGAAGAAAAGATCCATCATGGTACAAGAGTGGCCAGATATCTCAACAACTCTTAGGAGGGTCAAAGAAAAAGAAAAGTAAACATGGTTTTCTTGAGAGAGAAGGATTGGTCAAGCTTTTTCTTGCCTAGTCCCACTTAAGAACCAAAACAAGTTAGATCCATACTATTATAGTCCTAATGCGAGAGAGTTACCACGTGAAGATTGGCAGATAAAACATGAATGAAACCAAAAGTTAACTCATTGCCGAAGGAAAGATCTTGATTGTAAAAAACAAGAAAAGATGAACATCTTCACTATTTTCGTTCATAATTCATTTGAGAACATGTGCAAAGGGAACAATTAACAAAGACCAATAAGTTATAGCATAACAATTTCCAAAAGATATATAATGAGATGATTGACACAGAAGCTTGTTGAGGCTTGGTTTGTAAAACAACCATGCCATGTTCAAAATTCATTCCATCTTCATAAAGTGACTAGAAGAATCCTTTTGATGATGATTGCCACTATCATATCAATATAAGAATTGCATCGTATCATACAAATAGTTATATGATACATCACGGGGATAGTTAATATGTGGTCAACATACAAGTAAGCTTAGTTATGGCCACAAACCATAATTAAGTGTCATTTAAATTCACACTACTTAAAATTCCTCTTCTCGAGAGCATGTACCATTGGATTACTTCAACTTCTCTCATGATTTTCCTCAATGACCCTACCCTGTCGATTGAGCACTCTATGGATCTTCATAACTGAAAAAGGAAAAAATAACAAGTTGGTTTGTCCCTGAGACAAAGATTTCGAGCACCCACTTAATACAGGTCACATGATAGTTCAACCACACAACTCAACACCAATTGGAACTTTCCCATGGGTTCCACCAATCATTACAAAGTCGAAGTTTGTGGTTCCTAAACTCCCATGTTAGGTGTAATTTTAAGGTCAAACTAAAACACTATGCATTAGAAAAAGAAACACCTTCCCATCAATGATTACGAAGATGTTTATTTGGTAAAAGAATATCTATAACATTTTTCTACTCATTATTTTGGCTTTTTTTAGTCTCTTTACTTTGCTATTTGGTTTAACACTTGGTTCTTTGTCAATGTCATGATGTTTGATGAATGGTTTTGTTACCGCTGAATTTTGAAAGCTTTTGGTATAAATTTTTCAGCTAAACTGTTCTGTAGAAGTTCCAAATTTTATATGTTAGTAGCTTTTTTAAATAGTCTTAGCTTTTACTATCAAACGTTTCGACCTGTATGTTCATTTATGCAATAGAACGTTCGTCTAATAATTTTTGCATGTCAATAATCAGATTTCAGACCGACTTTTTATCATAATATGGAAAGTAAGCATCAACAATAACTAAAGTTAAACAATCATCTTTAAGAATTATGACCAGAAAGAAGAAAGATTGACATGCAACAAATTCAAAACTGTACCTAGGGCAATAGTTGATTCTTTATTGTGCTCAAATTTATGGATGTTCAATATCAAATTATTTACATTTTTTCCTTTCTTATTTATTGTTACATTTGCTTCTTTTAGACAATATCACTCAAAAACAACATTGCCGCACGATCTAGGTATTGTGTGTGGTACATATAACTATTAGCATCCGTCCATTAAAGGTAGTGTTCAATTGGCACTTTTAGTGCACCGTATGTTGTTGGTGAGATTGAATCTTTGTATTCCTTTCTAATTCTAGGGGGAAAATCTAAATTCGTCTTCTAATTAAGCTTCTCGAATCTTTTTCGCAAGTCAGGGGGTCTTCTAAAAAACAATCTATCTAACTCTTGCTATTACGGGAAGTCTATGTACATCTTCCCCGTCCATTAAAGATAGTGTCAATTGGCACATTATTTTGGAGCATCATATGCGGTTGATGAGATATATTAGCTCTTTTTATTCCTTTCTAATTCTAGGGAAAATAATTCTAAATTGTGGCTTCTAGTTAAGCTTCCCAAATCTTTTTTGCAAGTCAGGAAGTCTTCTTGAAAACAATCTATATACCTCGTCTCTTGAGGTTGAGGAAAAGTCTACTTACATCTTACCACCCATACGTGACATGTGGGTGGGATATACTAGATTTGTTTGGTGGTAAAACGAGAGGAGCGTTAGCAACTCACCAGAAAGCAACTAGTTGTCGTCCTGCTTCCTTTTCCCCCTCGATAGATGGCTAAATCACCTACTTAACACTAACCCAATAGAACCAAGAAAGCATAATATCTTCCGCAGTTGATGAGATACTTTAGTAAGGCATTAATATTCCTATAAAAGGGAACATTAAGAGGTTGATCCAAGTGATCACAAACAAGCTCCTACGATTATTTCGGGGAAAATGTTTACATGTGTGTATCTATTTTTTAAGGCCGAGTAGATATTACAAACGACCATTGATAAAATAGGCAAAAGTTATAATTTGTAAGTCAATGAGAATACATTAAAGAAGATGCATTTAGTAATTATATGCAATATATAGAGTTACAATATCCACATTTTCTATTTTCTTCATGCTTGAATTATATTTGGGATATATGTATGTGTTCTATTCCTTAAGATTTCATTTAACTCGAAGAACTAGTTCACCAACATACCTACCAATAAAGGGTATAAAAGAAGCAATTGACCATTCATAGGGAAGGCACAAAATATGGTAGCATAGCTCAAAAGTAAAATATAAAAAATACACCATTGAAGAATCAATCTAGGACATTGTACACAATACAATGGGCATATAACCATCAACATACATACAAAGAGGTCATATACGGATGCATGAATTGTGCCAAGGGACCATCTAATACAAGTGCACATATAAAATAAAAGTTAAACGTAGATAAATATATAACACATGAAGAACAGTTGTTGGTTCGACAGAAAAAAGTAAAAGAGGCAAGAGAGGAGAGTTTGTGACAAAAGAGAAAATAAATAAAAGAGGTTTGGGAAATGGTACTAGAAGAACAATGTAGCCTTGATTAGTTCCTTAGAGGTTAGCGACTAGTTCATTGTTCCCATTACTAAAACAAATCTTATTTGACCACATTACATCCATGATCCATCTATGTGTAAATGCCATTTAAGTTAACTGCAAAAATAAAAAATCATTTATATGCATTTTTCAATTAAAAAAACAAATGTAATGTGATCAAATATGCATTTCGTGGTTTGTAATGCTAAACAGATATAATGTGATCAAAAAACAGATGTATTGTGATCATATCATGGTTTTCAAAATCGTTTTGAGGCGTACGCCTCGAGGCGAGGCGGTTCAAAACCGCTCATCAGGCGGCGCCTCATGGTCCCTCGACGAGGCTTGAGCCTCAATTGGTGAGGCAGTGCCTTGAGGCGTTGAGGCGTGAGGCGTTTCTAAGGCGCACACCTCTCCAAACAACGTTTTTTTCTTCTCCATTGCTTACTTTTTCCTCTCTCAAGAAGATATCCATCTCAATAGCCAACCTAACAAGTAAGTTCTTTTTCGTTTTTGTCCATATTTTTAGTTTATGTATGATGTATTATATTATATTATATATATTTCAGTCAAGTATATATGTTCTATATCATGTATAATGTATTTTCTATATGTATAATGTGTTATGTATGTTTTTTTTGTATACTTTCTGTTTTTTGGTAAAAAAAAAATTCTGTTTTCTATATTATTTTCAGTTTTCCGTATTATTTTTCTGTTTCATGTGGATTTGGAAGACAAAAGTGATAGTGATTATGGATACGAGTGTGGAGCTATACAACTTGATCATGCTACGGGGAACTATAAGTTGTAGACTGATATGTTTTTAGACGTATAACTAGTATTTTATGAATCTATGACGTTTAAAATTTGGTATGGAATTATGTTTTGCTTACTATTAATATTTATGAATTTTATTTGTTTTACGCCTTGAGGCTTGCGCATCGGACCGCCTCGAGGCTTACGCCTCAAGGTGTGGAAGGAAAAGGCCTCGAGTCCCGATTCCGCTTTTTAAAAACTTGGATCATATATATACATACATATATATATATATATATATATGAGTTAACTACATCTTTCTCCCTGTGGTTTGCATGTTTTAATGCCTTAAGTTCCTAAAATTAAATAATTACGTAAAACCGCCCTGTGGTTTGCATTTTTTAACACTCTGAATATGTACCTTTAACTTCGTTTTAATCCATTCTGTTAACTCATTTAACACGGGAGTTTTAGTCTTTTTGGTCATTTTAAAAAGTACAATATATTGTTTATATACATAACGCACTCCACATCTCACCCCATCTTCTTCGTCTACATCTTTGTCGTCGGCCATAACTTCTTCAGAAACAAAATCATCTCAAGGAGAAGCATCATTGGTGAAACCTACCCCTTCTCAAAGATGCACAACAAATCAAGTAAGAAAATCAAAGATGAGTTTTTGAGGAAGTGGCAATGATCGGGAGGGTTCTGTTGACGAAAGTACTTGCAACCTAAGTTGTGACGAAACAGGCTAATCAAGAAACAGAACTCAATCTTTGGGTAGTCTCCGACAACAAAAACCCAGTCATGGCTATTCTACAGACAAAACCTAGCCAGGGCCATGACTGCTCCTAAGAAAAAACGATGCTATCAAAGGGTGGTGGATCTTCGACAAAGATTTGAAGCGGGGTTTAAGAGAGAACATGATCATGGTTGTTTGAAAACCAGATTAAATGTGTTATAAATATTCTAACACTGGTTGCAAATAATGTCGACAGGTTTAGTTCAATCCACTTGATCTGAAAGGATGCGTGTATTTTTGTTTGTTTCCATCTCCTGTGAACCCACACCTAATCAGACCTCTCGCTACTAGTTTTCCTCTCCGGTCAAAATCTGGCTTGCATCCATTTGTTATCGAATTTTTTGCTCCACTGCACGGAACACCAATTGTTATCAACTTCACCATCATCAATCTCTTGCATGCTCAATCCCAACAATGTCTGTAAGTCTCTCTCTAGATGGGTGCGTAAGATTATCAGGTTGAGGTATTAGTAATGGGATTGCAGTTGGTAGAGGTGGGAGTTCCAAACTTGGACTGCCATGGTTGTGCTTACAAGCTCAAGAAAGCACTCTTCGAGCTCAAAGGTATATCTCAAAATTAACCCACATTTAAATGGGTTTTCATATATGGCCGGTTAAACGATGAAAATGAGGTCGGTAAAGTATGAGTAAGAAAATGAAATAATTGATTAAAGTATGAGTGAAAAAAATCTACTTGGTTATACCTAAGAAATGGACACTAAAATAGATGCGGAACACTCTAGTAGCTCTCCTTTTAAAAGCAAATGCAGCTCAATTTCGGCTTCCTGATAAGGAGCTCATAAGCATTTCTAAAGGGCAGGAATTTGTATTTTGAACTTTTTTGTATGTGCTAAAACATAACATTAAAGTGGCACTTATCAAACCTGTCTGATACCAGTACACTACTACATTGAAACACATAGTTCCAGTTTACCTTTTCTTATGGATTTGCCAAACCCATAACTGAGTTAAATTTCAACTTGATGGCTGCAAAAGAGCAATTAGATTTTATGGGTGTGACATAAATAGAAAGCCTCAATAAACCATTGATTTCCTAAAATTTCCGGATACGAAAAAAGGTGCTGTAAGTATCGTCTACTTTTGGAATTTATTCAAAACCTTAATATCCATGCGTTACTAGAAAAAGAATCAGTTTCACTGTCATGGTCAACACATCAATTTCAACTTCAAAATTAGTACCTAAACAACAAAAATGTTAACCATGCTTAAATTTAACAAATTATACGAACTGGAAACAGCCGGCCTTAAATTTATAACAGAACACATATAATTTCTGAAGTCAGTTACATGATTCAGACTAAAAGATCAACAAGAATCTCTCTAATCAAACAAAGAGCTATACTTTTGTGATCAAATATGCAGGCAGGGGCGGAAATTACCTATAGGAGCGTCAAGGGCCGGGCAAGGCGGAGGTAAATTCAAAAAACCGGCTCTTTTTGTGTGTTGATCGATCAAATGTGTACTTTTCAATATCGTAAATTTTAGTTAGATTAGATAATTTTAGCTTCTGCATTCTACTGAGTTGTATATTATTTTGGCACGATGGCCAAAAAGAAAACCGAGTATGCTCCTTCCAACAATCTGCTTACTAATCAGAAATCAAGACTCGAAAAAAAAAAGAGAAAACAAAGAAAATGACAGATTACCTCTAAGGAGCACCGAGGGCCGGAGCAGATAGCAGGGAGCGGGGTGCGCCGGAGAAGAGATATAGAGACCAGGGGTCAAGATGAACCCATAAAAGAACAAACCCAGAAGATGACGGTTACGACTATATTGAATACGAGACAATCGACTGCAAGAAGTACGACAAGCCCTAATTAAACCCTTCTACCCCCTCGATCGGGTGTGCGATTTTGGGATGTACACCGACGTTAAAATTCAAATATACTTCGGAATTTTTTACCCAAATTGACCCTCAAGTTTTTAAAGATTGGAATATGTTGGTGTTTTGTACGACTAAACCGGATGGAATAGCATTAAACAAGGGAAGGTTAATGGCGTCTCTATCCTTTGTTAATCTCATCCCTATTACTTATATAATCATTCATTTTTTGTTTTCTTTTTGTCTTTTTGTTGTCTTTTTCTTTTTTATATTAATATATTTTTTTATTTAATAAATACATTACTATTACAAAATTTGTATGTAGGGTATTATTTCTCGTGATCCTTCAACTGTGTGGAAGCATATTCGATATTCCTTTCTGCACCAATACGCATCCCAGACCTAGCTTCGAAGCATCACTGTAACCTCAAAATCTTCCGACCCATCTAGCAGTGATGATATCGGAGCATTGCATAATCGATCTTTTAACAGTTGAAAAGGCTTTAATATGATCATCTCCCCATTCATACTCAACATTCTTTTACATTAGTTTAGTCAAAGGTGTTGCAATCCGTGAGAAAGTCTTGAATAAGTTTTCGATAGTACCCCGCCAAACCCAATAAACTACGGATCTCGGTGGGTGTTCTTGGTACTTCCCATCTTTTAATGGTCTCAATCTTTGCACGATCAACTTTTACATGTTGAGTTCTATAAATAAAATGTGAAGTAAACTTTCAAAACATAAACATTAACCATCACTAAAAATCTCGGCTCGAAAACAACATCATAAGTGTATGATGCGAAACAAAACTAAACATGTATGTTAATTATTCTTTAGATAAAATGCTTTGCACGAAGCAATCCATAAATGTTTTTCATCAATCAAGTCTTGCATTACTTCAAATGTTTGATCGAGTTCAATGGCACGAGCATTATCAGCTTTAAACTCTTTTTGTAGTTGTTTTACTGCTTTCTTCTTCTCTTAGATCCATTTGAGGATTTGATCCTGCAATGCCTTGTTACTATGTCATTTGTCAAATATCTCTTTAATTTCAGCTTTGGCTTTTTCAATGTATAGCTTCATCCCGGTAGGCATAATTTGAGAGGACAGGGGGTTTTGATGATGACGCATTTTCAGCCATCTATCTGTAGAGGGAGTTTGATGCTTGGTTGAGAAAGTTTGATTGCTTGATTGTTGTAAAATTTTCTTAGACTATGGGAGGTATATATACCAAATTACTGAGGTGACAACTCAATACCGACGCGGACAAAATTTTATTAGGTATTTTATGATCATGTTGTGTTTTCAGTTTTGTATTATGTTATATTTATTGTTTCATTACTAGATAAATGTAACGAACAATATCTTTATGTAACGATAATGTACATAATAGTGTAATGAAAAGTATAATTTTATACTCGATATACAACTTTCTTATATATTATTGAATACGGTTTTTATAGAACTCATTAGCAAGATACATCAGAGATGTTCTATTAAATATCTTAGGGTCATAAACAGGGTAACTATGAATGTAATTTGTATCACTAGTAGCCATTATTTCTACCATAAACCGACAAGCAAACACGCCACAATCTCCCGAGTTTGGTGCTTGTTGAGGGACGTTTGGAGATATAAACGTGACTAAGCTTCTAGTCCTGAGGCACATCCTTTCATCTTTTACGCCAAAAATTGATCTTTTGTAAGTATTTTTGGAGATTATAGGCCAAAAGTTCAATTCTTTGTCGATAACTTTAGCTGGGCACAATCATGTTATCATTTATGTAGATCATCCACGTCTCTATTTCTACGACCGTCGTAACCCAATGACATCTGTGTACATGAATCGGGATGATTACCTAAAAGAAATTAGTGGATTATTATAAATCAATATTTATTTGGAAATGTTTCATATATTAGCTATTTCTTACCTCGTCAACTAACCACCAAGACGGATAGTATATTTTTTGCGTCATCCATCAAATTAATATATTGTAGTCCAGGTTGTGACATAAATTGTAATGCATGGGACCATAATATCGTACGTTGTAACGCGTCAGGTCTCTACTTCATTTGCAAATGTGCCCACGTATCAACATGTTGTTAAAAGAACAATATACTCTATAAACATAAAATAATAACTGGTAAATAAACATTATCGTAAATAAAAAGAATAAATATTGATTACAAATGTATCAAACCAATAAGGTCCTCCAAAAGGGCATACCCCATGGTTCACATTCGAAAGGAGGTACTCTGAGTCCTTCTACTTTATCATTCATATATAATTCCAAGATGTCAAACTCAGTCATCCGCTTCGGGGTCTTGTACATAGGTGTTGAATCCGATAACGACATATACGGAGATCTCACAATCGGACCCGAGTGTCTGATGCTTTTCTCGTGCAAAGGTAGGGTATGCTCCGGTATCATAAACGATGCAGATTTATCAACATAATTTTGTTTGAAACTAAAATTCGGTTGATAACAATCATCATCTCTAGGGGTTGTATACGGTTGATAGACATTACTTTCATGTTGAAAGCCTTGATTGTTTTCAAGCTATTGAAATTGTTGATACTG